CATCCCATTCTCCTTGCTCAGCAAGTGCTAATTTCACCCTTCAGGACTCCCAGGCTCACTTGCCTCCTAACCATTCTTTATCTCCAGTTTCCTCTCACTCTCTGAATCCAATCTCTCTCTCTCTCCCCCTAATCTAGCTTCCAGGCTTTCCTACCTCCATATTCCCAACCCCATTGGCACCCCTTCTTAGGCTACTTACCCATTTTCAGCACCCCCCTCATTATTCCTTGTCTGAGACTCTTCTCCTATGCTCCCCCCCCCATCAGCTTCTGAGAAATGAGTATCCATGGGGGAGAACTAATTTGTCTCCCCTTATCTCCTTCCCTCCATCTCATTAGTTGTTCAGTTAGTCCCTGTTTCCCTCTGTTCTTCATCTGGTCTGAGTCATCTCCCTCCTTCTGGCTCCCAGACCCCTTCTTCCATTGCTTTCCTCAATTCCCAGTCAGTCTCATTCTCCCTCATGCCAACTCCCACTCCCAGGGTATGTCTACACTACCCTCCTAGTTCGAACTAGGAGGGTAATGTAGGCATACCGCACTTGCAAATGAAGCCTGGGATTTGAATTTCCCGGGCTTCATTTGCATAAGCAGGGAGCCGCCATTTTTAAAACCCCGCTGGTTCGAACTCCGTGCAGCGCGGCTACACGGGGCACGAACTAGGTAGTTCAAACTAGGCTTCCTAGTTCGAACTACCGTTACTCCTCATTTCACGAGGATCCGCACTTACGAACGGGGCTCTCTCGCCCAGGAGGTCGAGGTAGCGGATTGCTACCTGTGAGCTCCGGGGCGAGAAAGCCCCGTTCAAATTCAGCATATGCGCATGTCAGCTGACCCTGGCCAACCACAGCCATGTTCCATGCAGTCTTTTCTTGAGGTGTAGACAGATCTATAAATGCACTAAATTTGCTCCATAGTGGTCCTTCAGATTAAGACACATAGCCTGTGGACATCCCTCAAAGGTTGCTTCCCCTACATCAGTCATCCCACTTACACGGCAGAGGGCCCCTTCTGCCTCATAGAGCAAATACAGGCAGTCCCCGACTTACGCGGATCTGACTTACGACGGATCCGCACATACGAACGGGGCTTTCTCACCCCGGAGCTCACAGGTAGCAATCCGCTACCTTGACCTCCGGGGCGAGAGAGCCCCGTTCGTAAGTGCGGATCCAACATAAGTCGGATCCGCGTAAGTCGGGGACTGCCTGTATTGCAAAATGTTTTGTGTGATGATGGCTGAATTTGAACAGGTGACCAAGAAGTGAAAGGCTTTTAGTCCAATCAGTCATCTGAGCCATCTTCCCTAGTCTTATTTACACAATGGCGCCTAATGGTATTTTTCAAGCCACTGTAGTCAAATTATGAGCCAAATCCAACACACTTTTACTCTGATCTAGGGATGTGATGGACTAGTCAACTATTCGATAAGCAAATGCTTATCGGATAGTCGATTAGTCGCTTCCCCCACCTTGCTGCCTCTATCAGAAAGAGGCAGCAAGGGGGAGGGAGAAAAAAGGGGGTACCTAAAAGCAGCAGCATCACTCGAAACCTGGGGCCAGCTTGGAACTCCCCAGCTGGTCCTGGGCTCCACACAGTGCTGCTGCTTTGAAACACCGCATGCAGCCTAGGACCAGCTGAGATATCCCCAGGCTGCACATGACATGTGGAGCCTGGGATCAAATGGAGATTTCCCCACTGACCTTGGGTTCCATGCAGCGCTGCTGCTTTGAAATGCCATGGGGAGCCTGGTGCCAGGCTTCTCAAGGCATTTCAAAGCGGCAGCGCCACATGGAGCTCAAGACCAACTGCGGAGTCCCAAGCTGATCTCAGACTCCATGCGGCATTACCACTTTGAAACACCGTGGGGACCCCAGTGTCATGCTCCTCGCAGTGTTTCAAAATGGCAGCGCCATGTGGAGCCCGGGATCAGTTGACCCTGGGCTCCATGCGACGCTTTAGTCTTTAAAGTGTAGCAACAACCGTAAGGCTCTTGCTACACTTCAAAGGCAGAGGCTCCCTATCAACTAATGGAATAGTTGATGCAAAATGCATCAACTATTTGATTAGTCAGTTGATATTTAAAATCCTTACTGTAGACTTCACTCTCACTGCTATAGTTAAGGCTAAATTTAAGCACACAAGTTAACAGTAAAATTTTTTCTAGGTTGACTCTTGATACACAGCATAGCACAAAGCCTTACAATTCATTTTAATGTAAAAGGAAATGTTTGTCAAATTATGATGCTGTTCTGTGAACGTGAAACTTAAAGCAGCTTTGATATAGAAACAATGAAATAATGTCAAGTAACTTATCCATTTAAAGGAAAGGCACGTAGAGAGATTTAATTTTAAGAAATAGCTATAAAAGTGCACAAGGGCTACTTTTCATGAGGATTTTTACCACTTATTCCAACACATGATAAAAACTGCTGACATGTTCCTGAAAACTCTTACTTGCATAAGCAATCTATACTGGTCTGGGACTACACACCTGAGTAAAGATTATTGATCAGAGTAAAGATGTTAAATATCAACTAATTGAATAGTCGATGCATTTTGCATTGACTATTCCATTAGTCAATAGGGCAGCTACGCCTTTCAAGTGTAGCAATAGCTGTAGGGCTGTTGCTACACTTTTTAAGGCAAAAGCACCACATGGAGCCCGGGGTCAGTTGGGGACTCAGCTGATCCCAGGCTCCATGTGGCACTGCCACCTTGAAACTCCACAAGGAGCCTGACACTGGGCTCCCCACAGCATTTCAAAGTGGCAGTGCCGCACTGAGCCCAGGGTCAGCGGGAGTGTCCCCAGCTGATCCTGGGCTTCATGAGCCACGTGCAGCCTGGGGACACCTGAGCTGGTCCCAGGCTGCGTGCGGTGTTTCAAAGCGGCAGTGCTGTGTAGAGCCTGGGGTCGGGTCACAGGCTTCAGGAGGCACTGCTGCCTTGAAGTATCCCTTCCTTCCCTCCGCCCCATCCCTTGCTGCTTCTGGTAGAGGCAGCTGGGGGAGGAAATCAACTAGTCGACTATTCTATTGACTATCCAATAAGCATTTGCGTATCAGATAGTTGACTAGTCTTTCACATCCCTAGTCTACAGTTGTATAGTAAAGCAGAGCCATATGCCCAAGATTCAGAGCTAGACAGAATTGTTTTTGCAGGTGAAGATAAGGCAGGAACACTACTGATGACTACTTCCAAGGAGCTCTGATCAACAGAGTGGCTAGCTGAGATATAGGTCATCTTCATGTGGATCGGATTTGTGCAATTCCTTTCCTAATATTGCCTCCTCACTGTAGCCTTGACTCAACAAAGGAAAGTCAACAAAGCAGAAGTAAAACAAATACAAGACAAAATTGGTTGCTATAGTTTCTGGGTTAGGAAACATCTCCTTTATTGACTCTAGATTCTCACTCATGGAAAGATTATGATAATAGTGCGCCAAAAGCATTGAAAATTCTAGCTTCTTTCCGTATCCTGCTATTTTGTAATCTTTATGGGGGAGAATTTATTGAATGCTTATCAAATAAGTTTCCAACTACTCTGTCTGGAATCAGTGCAGAATTTACCTGAGTTAAGGAACCAATTTCTAAATGTTCACCTTGGCTTTTAAAATTATTTTTAAGTGGAGAGGGATTTTCATATAAAATTAAGGATTTTCTTAAAATATCTGCAATAGTATAATAATTATTCAGCTCTTTCTTCTAAAAGATTTGTATACTTGTTTTGATAGAGGCTTTGACTACAATAAAGATTACAATATACAGTTTTTCATTAATCAGGTGACTACAAATAAAATGTTTTTAATAATTATTTGGGATGGTAGCTTTACCAAGTGTTTTTCATGAACTCAAACAAATTTCTTCCATCCAATTTTCTGTAATTGTAATTTATAAATAGTTTAGTAATCTATTTTGTTTTACTATAAGTAAGCACAAGAAGTCTCATGTTTGCTGTAAGGTTTGATAATTTTCAGTATATAATGCATCAGTTGCAACTTAGTTGATTAAATGCTTGTAGTAGTGCTGGTCTTTCACTAAGTTTTCCTCACATCTAACTATTTTAGTATAAACACTTTTTTTCATTTTAATAGTGTTTCATCAGACAACATTTTGTATTAATTTCAGATAAAAACAAGAATTGGCAGAGGCCCAAAGACCATAAATCTGTCAGCATATGAATTGTTAGGTTATCATAACAATATCAATGTTTATGTATAAATATTTTGCCCATCATTCGCTACAACGAGCTCTTCACTTGCCACCTATTCATTTTTCTTTATACTCTATTGGTCTTCCATAAGAATATTCCTATCATATTTCATCTTTTTCTTCTTTACACTCCTCTAGGGTCTAGCTTTTGATGTTTGCTTCTAAATCTTCCCACGAGTTTTTTTTTTTCCTTTACATTTCAGTCTTCCAGGTAATGGAGTTTACTTTTCTAATTCTGTAGAACAATAATAAACAGAGTACCTGGTCGTCTCACATTGAAATCTGAGAAACTTGCAACTCTGAATAAAACCTTAAATCCAGTATCTGGTCTTCCTGCTTTGAAATAAAAATATATTCTGGGAACTTAAAGGCCAAATAATTGCAATTTATGTATTTTTCTTCCTTACCTATGATTTACTTTTGGATTATGGTGAAAATATACTTCAACTCTGTTATGTAAATAGAGCTGCCTCCTGAATTACCAAGCCCCTGAGCAAGGTCAGGGAGGAAGTCTAGGCCACAAAAAGGGCGGGCCTCCAATGGAAGAGGCAGGACTGGAACTAACTTCCTCCATCCAGCCCTTCAGCACTGCCAGGCCTCTACTGCCTGGGGCTCTGGTAGCAATGTAAAGGTTTGGGGCTCCAATAGGTACTGCTGCCCAGGTAGTGGCAGCCTGGAGCCTAAGGCCTGTTTAAATCACCAGGCCCCAGGGCAGCTGCCCCTTTCCCCGCCTCCCCATTGGTGGCCCTTATATAAAATATTTAAGATAGAAAAATAATTGTATTGTTGTCTATCTTGCTTGTTTTTCAATTGTGAAGTTTCCATAGTTTCCCTTCCATGCAGTGAATATTAATTGCTAGTACTGACAACTACTTTCTAAAATACTCTGTATTTCTGCAAGTGGCAGTTTGTTGCTGTCATGGACAGTAAAACTCCATCCAGTTCTAGAGTTGTAGAACCAAGGACCTCTTTTAATCATGAGTTCAGTTCATAGAACGAGTGTTAGGTAGGTAAGGGTTATCAGTACATAATATCTTCTGCTGTAACTGTTGCCTCTTCTGTTTTAGTTTTGAATTCAGGGAGGTGCATTCCACTTATGGCTATTAGCAACAAATTTACTACGTGAGATGTAGCACTAGCTACACAAAGCCAAATAGAGCTTTCATACTGTTCTTCCAAAATTACAAACTGAAAGATGTTTTCTTGGAAATTGGCAATTCTTTCTGTGAGGCGATGAAGTTTAACAGCAGCTATAAAGCTAGCGACAGCCAATGCTGTAAAGCCTCCTGCAACAGAATGAAAAAATAATTAACCATTTTCTGAACAAGTTAAACATTGACTGATTCAGGAAAACAAGATGTAAGCACATGCTTAAAGTTTAAACATATAATTAAGTGATATCCAGATTAAGAATGTTAGTGCTTTTCTGAACTGGGGTCTTTATTAGTTATGTGACCAACCTTTGCATAAATGTTGTTTTAAGTTTTTTTGTTTGTGATATTGAAGCTATATAGGTGAATTCCCTGTTCATACAAAACAATTTACAGTATGGTGAAGTCTGAAACGCTTTCTAAAAGGTTTATTGTAATAAAGGGGAATTCAGTGCTATTTTTTTCACACAAATATAGAGGTAATGATAAATTTGCATATGGCAAGAGAGTAATGATCTTCTTTTGTATACATTTACTTTTACAATTTTATTCTAATGTGGTTGGTAGTAAAATTATTTTACCTGCGAGTAAATTCCATAGGTATATACCTGCGGGACCTTTAATAGCTCGGTATGGAACTTTTATTGCATTGAGAATGCAGAATCCAAAACTGACCAGAGCAAAGGAAATGGCCATACAAAGGAAGATTAAAATCATCATATGAAGGCCTGCATTCAACTTTTTCACCAGATGAGGGAAGACTGGCAAGAAAGAAATATTCAGTTATTCAGTGTATAAAAATTACAGGATAAACATTATACTCATGCTAGAAACTGCTTTTCACTCCAATTAACAAAGCATTAATTACAGGGGGAATCAATATGGATAGATAGAGGTGTGTTAGTCCATGAAGGATGAAATTTATCTGCTCACTACATCAAAGGAGCAGAATTCTGATGTCAACCCCCCCTGAACTTTGCTGAAATTCAGATACAAGTACATGTCTATGCTATGAGCTTGGGATGTGATAGCACTAATGAACAACTTATTTTTGTCTTGATACCACCAAAATTGTTAAAAGAATATTAATAGGGTTGCAAAGTCCAGCATGCAAAAGTTAGGAAATGCCACAGTTAGGATTGCTTGTTCCCCATGTATGTGTATGCATTATAATGCACTCATTAGTTACAGGGTAACATTATCTTTTCCACAGAACCCCTGCCTCATTCTGTACTCCCATGAGTACAGACTGTTCTGCTCTTTCTTCTTAAGCGTGACCCCTAATACTTTGTGGCCTGCAACTTGTCCCAGACCAGTCCCTTCTTTTCCCATACACTTGGCTCCTCATCCCCGTCTTTTATTTTCCTTATTTAGCCAGTCCCATTTGCTATTTCTCAGGCTTCTCACTCCAGTCTCCCTGCCCATCAAGAACATAAGAACGGTCATTCTGGGTCAGACCAAAGGTCCGTCTAGCCCAGTCTCCTGTCTTCCAATGGTGGCCAATGCCAGGTGCTCCAGAGGGAATGAACAGAATAGGAATTCATCAAGCAATCCCACCCCTGTCGTTCATTCCCAGCTTCTGACAAACAGAGGCTACAGACACCATTCCTACCCATCCTGGCTAACAACCATTAATGGATCGAACCTCCATGAATGTATCTAGTTCTTTTTTGGAACCCTCTTAAATTCCTGGCCTTCACAACATCAAGTCTTAATCCCACCTCTCCAAACTTCCCTGCTCAGTCCCCCATTTTCTCTTCCCCTCCTGGAATCCTTGCCCAACAACTCCCAGTTCCCTGCCACTTCATATGATCTATTATCCACATCTAGCGTGTAGTCACTGCCCTAACATCCAGCCATAGACCTTAACCCCACTTGTTCCTAGTCCCAATCTTTCTCCATCCAGCCTCTGTTTTTTCCCCTCCCCTCCCCTCCATGTTCTTTCCTTAATCAGTAAGGGTATGTCTACACTACAGTGTTAATTTGAGTTATCTTAATTCAAAATAGTTAATTCGAATTAAGCTAATTTGAATTAACACATCTACACACAAAATGCAGTTCAAATTAGTTTTTTGCTATTTCGAAATAGTGCTTCCACACTGAGTGGACTCTGAATGGGAGTTAAGGCTGGCCGGAACCAATTCTGGCAGGGCATCAGGTTAGGACTTAGTGTGTAGGGCTGCTGCCTGAGGCTAACTGAGCTCCGTGCTTAAAGGGACCCTACTCCCACCCCAGACAGACAGTTCTCAGGGTTCCCCAATGAGGGACAGCAAAGCAGTCCTGTCTTGGAGTGCCCGCACTCGGGATACCACAGCACTCGGCCACATGGAGCCAGAGCTGCCCCTGGGCACACCGGTGCGTCTCATGGGGTTGTTGCCATCAGCCCAGCTGCACTTGATGCAGGCTGCCATCTGGGGGGGTCTATTGGGGGGGCTGTCAGGATCCATGAGGCCCTGCGGGAGAGGGGCCACCCCGAGGAGCCTGCAGAGCCACCCCAGTCCTCCCCATCGGGGGCTCATGACCCATTCCTCCCTCACCTCCTTCCACTTACCCTTCCCTAGCCCCTCTTCTTGATGTACAAAATAAAGATAACGTGTCTTCCAAAATGGAATCTGGCTTTATTGAACAAAACTGGGGGAGACTGGGAAAAGGAGGTGGGAGAGAGGAAGAGAGGCTGTGAGAGGGGAGGGCAACTAAAACGATCAGGGGTTGGGAACAGGTCCCATATGAAGAGAGGCTAAAGAGACTGGGACTTTTCAGCTTAGAAAAGAGGAGACGGAGGGGGGACAGGATAGAGGTCTCTAAAAGCAGGAGTGGGGTGGAGAGGGTGCATACAGAAAAGTTCTTCATTAGTTCCCATAAAGAAGGACTAGAGGACACCAAAGGAAAGGAATGGGTAGCAGGCTTCAAACTAGTAACAGAAAGTTGTTCTTCACAAAGCAAAGAGTCAACCTGTGGAACATCTTGCTGCAGGAGGCTGTGAAGGCTAGAACTAGAACAGAGTTTAAAGAGAAGTGAGATAAAGTGATGGAGGTTGGGTCCATGGAGTGGTATTAGCCAGGGGATAGGAGTGGTGTCCCTGCCCAAGGTTTGTGGAAGGCTGGAGAGGG